CTTCAGTATTTTGTTCGAGTCTGTTTGGCAGTGATCGGGCAACATTAGGGGCTGCTCATTCTCTCCCTCTTCTCCCTTGTGTTAATCGCCCGCGGTCGCAGAGTCCGTAAAGAGGTTGCTCATTCTGTTTAACCTTAATTAAGTCGTTCAGCTAAAAGCTTCACCAGTTATGTTGGCTTTCTGGCTCTTCTTGTGATGTTCCTCTCATCCTAGCTCATGTTTACACCTTACCGCGGAAAGCGTCCGATTTATGCGTAGTGAACGCGCTGATCCATGACAATACTAGGCTGGAGAGGTTGACCGAGTGAGATAATTTTACAATTATAAAGCACAACAAGAAAAAAAATAGAAAACAAAAACTCAATAATGACTAAAGACTAAACGATGCCCTAAAATGAGCCTATGGATAAGAGGAGTGGTGAAAATAGAATACCACGAAAAATCGGAGGTCTGCCAATCAAGTGGATCGGGAACTGCTTCTAAATTGTGTAGTAATTAGGAGACAAGCGGGAAACTTTCGCTGCATTGAGATCGCGTGGTAACATATTTTGAGTGTAAATTCGAAAGCACACGAATTGAGTCATGCCGCCAACGCCAAACACGTCTAAACCCAGAAGCTACCCATAGCACAAGCCTGCATCAGTCGGCAATGATGCCCGCTCGCCACTTGCGGGGTCATAGGTACTTGCCGTAACTTCGAAACACGGGTATACCGACCACCCTCGTGGAAACGGCAAGCAAGGCGTATGTACGGGTAGGCCACTAGCAGACGTGAGAAGGAATAGGCCGCATACTCAGCTTTCGTATGCTAGTGACAGACAGAAGCCAAAAGTGGGTAATCAGCACGAAAGTTGCCCGGTAGATCCGTGAAGCAAGACGAGCCGCTTGACAGACAAACTAGGTCAGCAGAGGCAACAATACATCAAGAGACATCGGAAATACCGAGCATTTCCAAGAGATTGATCTTTCGAATCGCTGATGTAAATAGCTTCGAGTTGCTCAATGCTAGAAAATGTGGTGGGAGAGACTCCAGCCATTTGGTTGTACGAATAATGAAGCAGTTCGCCCTTAAGTTCCGATGCCACCTGCCCATTTTATGATTGAACGTATGAAATGTTCCTCTACGTCCATGCGTTGGCCGGAAGGTCCAATATCTGGATGGCCTGATGCGTAGTTCACACTTGAGCAGTTGGTGCCGCGGTTCTGCTGTTAATTGTTGACATTGTTCGATTCCTTTTGTCTTTTTTCAACTACTATCTGTGGCGATCACTTATACTGCATTTTATGCGGTTCGTTTACTTTTTTCTCTAGACGTGATCCGACAAGCTGGAGGAACTTCTCACGAGAGTCCGCACGGAGTAGGTTGGTAATTTGCTCATTTTTTTTTCTTGCTTTTGTTTCTGTTTCTCATGGAAATCTCAGTCTAGGTAACGTTGGTGTGAGTTTCATCTCATTCTATGTTCCCTACACTGAATGAAATAAAACCCACACCAACACCAAATATGCAAAGCAGACCCTAATCTGCACAAGAAAGTGGGCAGCATCGCCCTCGTCCTTGTGTGCAGATTGGGTCTTGCTTGCTATTTATGGCTCCGTTCCTTTCGACGTTTTTCAATGAAGTTTATTCCTTCATCGATCACCAGTTTCTTTTCTTTATACCCAGTCACATTGTCACTCGTTTGACCGCTTCGGCATTTATGTCATACACTGGCCGCTTTCAGTCCTGCCAATGTATGGAGCGGACAGATTTGCATGAATAACGCCGTGATGGCCACCTCCCTTTGTTTGATCTCAAATCCAATTGCGTACAGAGTAGCCCCAAGGCTCCCGCCTCTGCTTCGTATCAGGGTGAGCTTCTTTCTTTTTGTTTTTGGAATTCTACCACATTTGCCAGATCAGTTGAGGGTTTTCTCTGTAAAGCGCTATTTTTGTCTTGTCATTTAGATATCTACTAGATGGCTTTTTCCAGTAACCAAAGAATAAGTAATAGGATTCAAAGTAACTTAGCATTGTTGTCTATTTGTAGGGGCGTATTGTTCCCGTTATCGTTTTCGATTACGTCCACGAGACCGTTAAAAATGGAGTGCATCATGTGACCGTACTACGGTTGACTAGACCAGGTAAGTGTTAGAAATATAGAATGTCTAGCTTTTATGATCTTGCCTTAAATGTAGAATCAAGCGGTTCTCTAATGATGATTGATTCTCTGCTTTGTTTACATCCCTCTAATGTTGCAGCGGATCTGGAAGGCGAACAACGATATATCTCTTTTTTCGAGGACATGGTCCGAAAGGGCCGTTACTTGGCGGTTGATGTCCCTCCGGAGTCGTGCCTTCAAGGATATTCTACCTCCTGCGTTGCCCAAGCTGACGAGGAACCACCAGGTCTGCAGCGTCTAGTGGTCATTAGGTTCTACTTCCTCCAAGTATTGGTACTTCAGCGTTTCTCTTACCGTTCGATGGGCCAGGAATTCCCCTGCGACATCCTGCCATGATCATATGTGTGATTGTGATTTACGGAAGAGGGCCATTTCAGGAGCTGGGACTCGAGTATGTGAAAATTTTATCAATAGGTTTTCATCGGCTTCTTTTTTTTCACTTTTAGTAGAATTAGGGCTTTCGAATGTTCTTCCCAATGTTAGCATGGCTTATCAGCAAAAATGTTCTACCTTTATTGTTATCTGTCATTTTCAACTAGTGATTAATTTTCTCTCTTCGTACGTAATGGTAGTAAAGTAAAAGAGTATTCCTATTTTATTTTCGTGCTTATTTTAATAGCAATACATTACAGGAGGGCCTACAGTAGGGAAGCACTTCTTACTCGAAGTCCGCAGGATCCCCAGCTCCTCGCGCAGAGCGTTGGAATCATGTCAAGGTCTCATTCTTCAACACCTAAATTTGGACCAGCTTTCCGTGATTATGAGAGCACGAGGTATTTCGTTTTCCGCTTCCTTTTTCATTTTTCTTTTACCATATTTCAACCAAGGAGTGTTGGAATTTAGTCCGGAACTGGTTCGTCAGTATGGTTCACGAGATCCTCTCAATTTGGCTTCCGAAAGCGAACGCGTTGCCGAGGATGGTAAGTGGAGTCAAGCTATCAGGCTTGCAGCTTAATGGAGGCTTGACCTTTTTTAGCAACAATCAAACGAATATGTTATTCTGTGGCCTCGGTAGTGCGCAAGCTTTCAGATTATTCTCCACGAAGCAATCCTGCTCAAGTGGTGCCGGAGACTAGACCGGAGACAGTCGCATCAGATACAAATACGATCGAGCCGCAGTTGCCGCCTGAAACGGAGTCCGCTTCAAGTACCCCTCCGGATCCTCATCAAATTGACTATGCTCCCGTTACGGATGCTGACAATTTGTTACCATCAAAGTATGTTATTGTTTTTTTTTCAGTTGCAGTTCTGATGTCCTGTCAGTCCGGTTTGCCAACAGGCTGCAATACGTATAATCGGGGCGTGGTCGGTAGTGTTAATTATGTGTTCTAGGTTTTTCACCATGTGTAAAGAAGCTGCCAAAGAACCAGCAAAAGCCCCGGTGATCGAAGAGATTGATACGCTTCCAGATTTACTTTTATTTATCCAGCTGAATAATAATCCTCGTATGTAATTTGATAATACAATTTTGTAATATGGAGTTTTTCGTAAGAGTTGATTAGTTGTTGAAATTTAGGTGAGATCAGAGAAGTAGTGGCGAGATTTATGATGAATCCATCTTTGTCTGAAAACGATCGAGATCTGATCAGGAAGAAAGTGATGGAGAAGATTTCGGCGGAAAGGAAGAAAAGATCTCGGTACAGATTTACTTGTACTTGAAATGTGATCTAGAGGTAGGTATAGAAAGAAGTATTTTGCACTACCTAAAAGAGACGCTTGGAAGGAAACCATGAAGTGAGTTGCTCGCCATTAGTTTCGTATGCGGTGGAGAAATTCACAGGAAACGGGTGAATTAACGGGCTAGTTGATGATAAGAATATTCGCTCAACCTTAGAATAATGCAACTATCATGAATTTGCGCTAAAAGTGTTTGGATCTTCTTGAATGTTCCTTTTTTCATGGGGTTTCCCGTCTCGTAATGACGACATCGTTCAAATGATTATTTATTAAGTTGCGATAGGTGAACTCAATTTTTTTCGCTAGGTTATGCTCAGAATTTCAGGCCAAACGATGAGGCAGAGGAGGGCACAAAACAGGAGGGATTGAAGGAAAGTGGAAGAGAAATGAATAGTGGAGAGGATATGATGGACACGGATGCCATAGACTTCGAATCTTTGAATAAACTTTCTAGCTTCGTCGGCGAAGGTGCTCAGGAATTGTTGAAGCAGGTAAGTATACCATAGCCTCATTGAATGGCGATGCCGCTTTCATTGCCGTATTATTGATTTGAAGGCCGGGGAAGATGTTGAATCCCCAACAGCGCAACCATCGACACCACCTCCACTTCCTCCAGCGCTTACATTTACAGACCAGGACGAACAGGACGAGCCGTCAGCCGATGTTGATGAAGTCGGTTGATGTTATGTCAGCGAGAAGGAAGGCTGACTCCTCTGCATACTCAATTTATTGTGTTTTTCTAGGTGATCAAAGGTGATCGAAAATCCATCAGTGAGATACTACCTGGACCACCTCCCGTGCCGCCAGTGTATGGAGATTCATCAGATGGAGGTGTGTATAGCATTGATCAGGATAAAGCATGAGTGGAAAGCATGGTGTTATTGCTTAACATCAAATTATAGAGTCACCACCTGAGCGCGACGATGTTAGATCTCCAGACTCATCTAGTTTCTCGAAAATCCAGACTGTTAATGTTCTCCCTGTGCCACCACCTCCTCCGGTTCTACCAAGTCGGTTTTGCACTTCTTTTCTTTTAACACATTCACGACGGCGCCCTTTTTCCACTTTTCGGTCGCGTGGGACGGACGGGAGCGCCGCCGCCTCACCTCATATCCGTGGATTTTGTATTGTAAATGGAACAAAAACATGAATGTCACAAAATAATTTAGCAATGTTCAATGCGTAAAGGTTATCTTAGCATATAATGTAAGACTTCGATTAAAGGCAAGAATCAGGATTAAATTGATGGGTTGATTCCACTCAAATGTGAAAGTAGGGATGGGAGGTGGACCGCCAATGGAGAAAAAAGGAAAGAAAATCCTGATAAAGGGAAAACTAAGTTGAAGTTTAATTTTATTACGTCTGCGAAAGTCACAAGTTAGAAACAGCACAACACGACTAAGAAACTAGAACTGAACATGAAACATACAACGAATAGATAAAACTACTGAAATTGTAGGCGTCGACTGTGACATTTGGTATCAGTCTCATAAGCGCTAATTGCTCCGTACCCCACCCATTAGCTATTGGCCAAACGATGATAAAACTGGCTAGTTATAGGTCAGATGGATT